TCTCTTGAAACTGAAGGATGCCTACGTAATGCCTACTGCTGTTGTTCACAGCTGTAAAAATATTTTGGATCATATGTCCTTGACTTCTAAAAGGTCTTCATGTGTTCAGTAGTTTCTGGATTTTTAAAGTAATTAAAACTTGAAGATATAGATAATATAATGCTGCCAGAACTCATTTTTCTCTGTTTACTTCACAATGAGTGGAAATCATGGTTTATTCTTATCCTCTGAAGTGAGTCCTGTATGGACTCACCCCCCCCTCCAAGGAGATTCAGGGGTGCCAGAGATGGAGAGATTTCAGTGGTTAGCCAGTCCTTTTGAGCTAAGATGAGCCCACTTTCTTAGTCAGGCCCTGAACTAACCCTCCTTCCTCAAGTCCATCCCCTTTGTTAAGAAAAAGCAAGAAACACAGACAATCCGTGAGTTAACACTCAGGCAAATCTGGGCTCTATATGGAAGCGAAATATTCAATTATGTGGCCAATTAGCTAGGCTAGTCTGTTCAAGAAACCAATGCATGCAATTCCAAATCATTACTGCTTTATTAAGAAATATAGATCTAAATAAAATTCAGATTATAGCAAAGCAAATCAGTTAGTTACATTTCCATGCCAAGTCAGTTAAACCACCTCGCAACCTCCAGCTAGAAAAATAAAATAAGAAAAGCATACTAAGATAGATTAATGTATAGGCGTAGTCATTCTTACGTTCCTGTGAGTCCATAATCCATAGTCCACAAGGAAAGGTAGAATTCAGTTGTAATCCAAAAGTCCAAGTTGGCAAAGAGGCATCATTCAGATGTTATAATCAATTTGGAGAAAAACAGCATGGCTATGTCTTTCTCAGTCAAACGCCATTTTTCAACTTTCACACCTTCTTCTTCTCCCCAGAATGCCTCAGGAGGAACACCCCTCTGGTGTCTTGTCCCGCCTATTTTTCCCATGGGAGTCTAGCAGAGCTAAAGTTTTATTATGACTACCAGGAATGTAGCTCTCCTTAGCAACTAGATGAGTTTAGAGAACGAAGCTTCTTTGAAACAGCAGTAAAATGCCTGCTACAGACACAAACCTAAACTCAATATGGATGCTATTCTGACAATCTTATGACTACAAAACCCATCTAACAACCATAAAAACCACAGATCATTACAGCTACTTTTCTCAAGAACCAGGCAGATAACACATTAGAATTTTGATATGATGGCCATGATTGTCTGGTTCACACTGGTATTCAACCCTATCAGGGATAAATGTTCAGGTGCTATAGACCACGACAGACTCCAACTACTAATTAATAACCATGTGTCATGAAATTAATCCTGGCTTATGGCGACCCTTTTCAGGCTTTTCCTTCCCTTCTTCTGGAGGCATCCTGGGACTATGCAGCTTGCCCAGGCCACACAAGGTGGCTTTACTTAGAGGAAGGCCCAGCAGGGGAATTGAATGCCCAGCCTTTATTCTGCAGTCAGATACCTAAACCACTGAGCTATCCAGAGAGTTCAAACAACTCAGAGGTGTTATAAAGTTCTGTAGCGCTCTGAGGGTTTTTCTTGAGTGTCTTCTACTTTTGACCATGACAAAACAGGGATATCAAATCGTCCATGACATGAAGAAAGGAGACAAGGAAGTTTTGTAGAAACATCCAGTCACCGTCAGAAGGAAGGATGGAAGAGAAACAGCCTCCCTCTCTTGCAACCACCCTTTGGGGTTCCCTCCCGGGATGCTGAATTTGCAGGATGGCTAAGCAGAAGGCTGCCGATGTGCCACAAGGGGAGCAGAGAGTTTGGGGAATCTCCAGAACTACAGTTTGGAGACTCTTTCTCAGCTCTTCTGAAGCAGCCCCTCTGGTAACCAGCAGGCTCTCAACGCCATGTCCAATTGCAGTGGGACAACCTAGCCACGACTGTCTCTCCTTAGAGTTACACACAAGACAAGCAGGAAAAGACCCCAGGCTCTTGTGAAAGGGTCAAGCAGCTTCTTAAGGACAAAGAAGCACAAAGGAATAGCTGCCCAGCTTCACAAAACCAGGCATCTGCCTGAATGTGCTATTTCGTGATGATGATAAGGAGACGTGTAGCTCTTCCCATCTACAAGCATGTCCTTCAGGTTCATTTCGGAAAGAGAACTGGGAATAGTCTCCCCTTTCGAAAGGGATAAGCAGTGAACCAAAGGTACCCAAAGCAGCTCTGAAATCAAAGCAGGGCTCTCCGAACTCCGAAATACTGACTTGGCGATTCAGAGGGGTTAAATAAGCTGACATTTTTTTTAAAAGTTGGTAAACAGAAGTAATGCATAAGGTGACAAGAAAGCAGAGAGAGACTGACAGCTCAAGCACCAATGAAAACTCCAGCCGCTGAGCTGCTGGGAGGGAATTCTTCTGCCAGTTTGCCAGGTTTGGAATATTTATTGTATTTGTTCACTTGTTTGTTTTATAGTCTGCTTTCTTCCAGTAAGGAGACAGAAAGGCAGCTCGCAGTATTAAAAAGAATAGAATCAAAAACTTAATAAGTGAAACATTTTTTAAAAAATAATTAAACTATATGCTAATTAAAATACAATTGATCTTGGCATTGTGATGTTTGCGGAACAGCTGATCGGCGGTTCCAAAATGGCTGCCGGGTGCCCAAAATGGCCGCAACCATTTTCGCGCGATTTCCTCTCTTACCGAGGCAGCGAAATTGGCAGCGCTATGGAGGATCTTCGCATAACGGTGAGTTTTCACCCCCGCATTGCAATGTTTCCGGATAGCGATGATTAATCCGGAATGGATTAACGTCGCTATGTGGGGCACCACTGTACATCCATACAAGAACAACTGCTGAAGCAAAGCCAACCGAAAGTCTCGTGGCAGCTGTAAAAAGCTGGCAGGCGTTGAGTGACTTTCAGTCCACAAAGTTTCGTGTTCATTTTTAAAAAAACGATGGGGCATTAAAGCCAGAATCCTATTAGGATTTTACTCCTGAGTAAGTCAAAACTGCATCAGTCATGGGGCAAGCAATCGCTCATCCACAAGATGGGGCTGCCAGTCACAAGCTCTAGCATGCAACTCACCCCTTCTTTTCAGCTCCACTTCGTCCCCGTGGATTGGAGCTACAGTGGTGCACTGTATAACGAGCGCCCTGTTTAACGATGAACCCGCATAGCGGATTTTGTGATCGCAAAAGTGATCACATTGCGTTGTTTCCTATGGGCCCCACTTCCCCCCAGCTGACCAGTGGGCACTTTGGAGCGACTGCAGTGGAGGCTTCCCCGGTGGTCGCTCCAAAGCCAGCGCCACCCAGCTGGGGGGAGAAGGCTTCAGAGCGACTGTGGTGGAGGCTTCCCCGGCGGTCACTCCGAAACCTGCGCCACTCAGCTGGGGGAAAATGGCCACCTGCAGCGTTTTCGCGCCTCGCTTACCGAGGCGGCGAAAATGCGGCCAGATGGGGGATTCTTTGCTTACCGGTGAGTTTTTCCCAATAGGAACACATTAAATGGAGTTTAATGCATTCCAATGGGTTCCCCCCCCCGCATAGTGAAGAATCCAAATAGCGACGTTAATCGTGGAACGGATTAATGTCGCTATGCGGGGTACCACTGTACTCAGGATTAAAATCCCAAATGGATTCTGACCCTTGTCGTCGACGTTGGTGCATGTTGTGCTTCCATGCAGATTTACCTGAAGAAAGCAACTATATATTTTAAGTGCATGTTAATTGTTTTGTATTTTAATTGTATTTTAACTGTTGTAAGCCACCCAGAGACCTTTGGGTAGAGTAGGTGGCATATAAGTTAAACAAACAAACAAACAAACAAACAAATAAATAAATTCCACACCAGTGGGAATCATCAGCACTTCCAACAAAGAATCCAGAGAAAGAGTCCAGCCACTTGATGTCAGATGATAGTCCAGCCACTTGATGTCAGATGATGGTCTGTGGAGATGATTAGCAGTGCAGCACTGGCTGGAGAGCTCAGTGGTTTAGGGATCTGGCTGCAGGGAAGGGGAGGGGACACCTTTTTGTTCCCCTTGACCCAAACCAGTAAAAAAAAAAGATTATGAGGATGCTCTGCCACATGTCTAGGCCGGGTATCCATCAAGACTTGTCCGTGGTGTCCATGAGCTGCCCCTGATATGGCTTCTGGGCAGACAACTAACGTCAAAAACCTCCAGCACAATCCATTGGGGGACCTCAGCACCCCCTCTGGCTATTCTGCAAGCTCAGGACGAGGAGATTCTTGGGCGGCAGGAGGTGGTGGTGCAGCAAGAGGACCTTGAAGCTGTCTTGTCCACCAGTCATGGGACAGGCACGTTTGAACTTTGGAGATTGCTGGGCAGGGGACAGGATACATGATGGGCCAAGATGATTGCCAGATCATGCCAGCTGTGGATCCCGGGCACCTGGTGGGCCCAGCTGGATATAAATCTGACGCCCAAACAGGCTTCAGTTACACCAGTCACAGCCTCTTTACTCAGGATCAAATTCTGGACCACACAGCTCTTTGTGGCATTAAAAAACAGTTTTGTGACTGGGGATCATTAAGAACCCCCTGGACACTCTGCTGGAAGGCTTTCCTTCTCTTTCCCTTCTTTTCTTCTCAACAGCCTGCTTTGCTCCCACCATCAGGGGACCCTGAGGACATCCCCCAAATTCTGAACAATGCTTTGCGTGGTGGATGATGTGGACTTTTGTCCAGGGAAGGTCAAGCACCCTACAAAGGTTGATCTTTCCCTTTTCAAACATCACAGCAAGAATCTCTCTTGGTTTTGCTGCCACAGAGGAACCCGGCTGCCTCTTTGGCGAAGGTCACCAGAAGACAGCCACCTCCTTGTTGAATAAATCAATATTTTAAGTCAGATAAGTCCATTTCCAGCTGATAACAAACCAGTCGGAGAACCGACTGGCTCACCATAATTTGGCAATTAAACCAGGAATGACTAATGATTAACTTGATGGTGCCCCAGAGCATCAGATGTGCAAAGTCCAGGCTGTGGAGCATAAATAAGGTCCCCCTCCTGGCCTCTGGAGATCCTGCTGTGCCCACTGCCAGCCACCATGGAGCCTCTGGGTACGGTCACCCTTTTCCTGGGAGTTTGTCTCTCTTCCCTTCTCCTCTTGGCCACTGTGAGGAGCAGGACGCAGGGCAAGGGAAGGCGGCCACCGGGCCCAATGCCTTTGCCCATTTTGGGGAACATTTTGCAGCTGAAGACCACCTTCCTCAGTAAGGCTCTCCAACAGGTGAGTCTCAGGAGGAAGGCCTCCCACCACCAGGCTCTCTCTAAGGGGTTGTGGTTTCATGGCTGGCTCTCGTTCGCTGACTCTCCAGGTTTGATTTATTCAGCAGCTGAAACAACCCCGAGCGAAGTTAGTTTGCAGTCTGCCATTCAGTCCAGAGCCAAGAGCAGAGGAAGGATAAGGGAGAAAAGGCAGGGAGGGTGGGGGGCATAGAAAGGCTGAGTTTGAAGGAAGGGCCAAAGAATGCAAAACTATGCTAGAATGGTGTATTTAACACATCTTCCGCATCTGGTTTTTGCCCAGACAGCCCTGCATGAAAAAGGCAGACTTATTGTGTGACTTAGGAGAAAAATGTTTGCCGAGAGGTCACTGTGTTAGCCTCTTTCAGCAAAAACAAAAGAGAGACAAAAGCCTTGGTGAACCTCTGAGCCCCCAAACTGTGTTCCTTCTGGTTAAAATCCACTTCAGGAACATTGTAGCGAAGTGGTCAAAAACCCAACGGAATCATTGCCAATTGCTGAAAATATTTGTGTCTCTCCATGAGTAGTCAGACGGGCAGGCAGAGTCCCTGTGGCTCTTCTGATTATAGGCGCTGCTGCAGCCATCGACGATCGGGTTGTACTGCCTCCAAACCAGTTTCCCAGATTCTTCACTCTTTTTATTATTATACGGTCATACTAACTAACTCCATAAGATGGACTTTAAACCCTTATTCCAAATGCTAGATGTAATGCAAAATGACCTAAGGAACAAAGATGACCAAATAACTCCGCCTCAAGGAAAAAGAAAAGCAAGAGAAGTGACTGCAAAATAAGAAAATAAATGGCACACACTGAAAACACCGGAGAAAGCCAGAAAAATACCAGCAACTCAAGACCTGGTTATATAGACAGGCCTTCCCTCTGGACACTATGTAATTCTCTCTCTTTATCTTTATCTATTCTGTTTTGTGTTAATGTTGGAAGCTGTTATTTCATATTAATTGTTTTTATTATGTGTTTTGTGAGCCTCCCAGAGTAGACTTTGTCTAAATGGGCGGCATATAAGCTCAATAAATAAATAAATAAATAAATAAATAAATAAATAAATAAATAAATAAATAAATAAAACTGACCAAATAATCATTGCAACGAGCCAGAGTGTTTAAACACCAACACCATGAAACCTAGCTGGATGCCCCAGATAACCTACTAGCATGGAAATATTGTTGTATACCCAGATGTTAATATTGAAGCCCAAAAGATAGCCCCAACTCCAAAGACCTGCTTATTGAAAATCCCTTCATGGAACATAGCTGGTTGAGCCTCCAGACACAGTGACCCAGGAATACTGGGTTATTTAACATTACACGATATAATTGCAGTACAGGAAACCTGGAGCACTGATAATATTAGTTTGAATGGCTATCTGGTGCTTAACAGCTATGAAGTTCCTAGCAGTGGAAAGGGTCATCCAAAAGCAGGGATGGCTCTAATGTTCTCTACTGCTTTGGAGGCTAGGGTTAAATGGCTGCCACATTATAAATGGATGCCACCTTGTGACAAAATTGCTATGGCCGCCTTACTTGTTATCAGGTCAAGCGCTTATTTGATTATCAGTGCCCATATTCCTCTGTTGTCTTCCAAAAATCAAATAACTCAAATATGGAACTAATTAGAACTTTATATTACAAACTTAGAATCCATAGCCTCCAATGCACATGTGATACTTATGGGAGACCTGAATGCAAGAACTGGATCGAACAATGACATTCTTTACTCTTTCAATGTCTGGGGTACAGACTCTCTCAAGAGATCAATTATAGTGGGATATGCCTGGCCCGGGTGGTAGAACGTCTTACTCTTTACATTGTACAGTGGTGCCCCGCATAGGGACAATAATCCATGCAGCAAAAATTGCTGCAAAGCGATTTTGTTGCTATGCGAAAATAAAAAGCCCATAGAAATGTATTAAACCCCATTTAATGCATTCCTATGGACAAAAAAATTCCTTTAAGCAAAAATCCTCCATACGGCCACCATTTTCGCTGCCCGGTAAGTGAGGAATCGGCGGAAAAAGACAGCGGGTGGCCTTTTTTTAACTCGGTGGCCATTTTGGAACTGCCGACCAGTTGTTAGAAAATCATTGCCATGCGATAATCAGTAAGCGAAACAGCGTACCGATCATCGCAAAGTGATTTCTTACCATTTAAAACTTCGCAATGCAATCACTTTTGCGATCGCAAAAACTTAATCGCTATATGGATTCGTCATTAAACGGGGTGCCTGTTAAGTGAGGCACCACTGTAAATGGCAATGAACTGTTTGATAATTGTGCAGAATTTACTTTTGTATCAGGGAGGGGTAGTAGTGTGGTAGACTATATGTTAATTTCTCCATCTTTAACCAGGATGGTTAAGGAATTCTCTGTCAGACATAGAACAGATAGCGATCATTTACCCGTAATTTTAACCTTGTCACTTCTAAACCCAATACAGTGGATACTCTACTTATGGAATTAATCTGTATTGGAACAGTGGCTGCAGGTCGAAAAGTCTGTAGGTCAAGTCTCCATTCACCTACAATGCATTGAAAACTGATTAATCCCGTTTTTGATCCATTTTTGTTTCATTTTGGGTTTTTTCTGGTCTGTAGGTTGATTCTCAGGCTGCATGTTGAACCGAAATTTTGCAGCCAGAGAAGTCTGTAACTCGAAAAGTCTGTAAGTCGAGCCATCTGTAAGTTGAGGGTCCACTGTACATCTTCCCCCTGAACACGATTTAGGTGACAATGTCTAATCAGTATGGTACAAATGTCTAATTTGGACAGATGAAGTTAATGTAAAAGTCGCCAGTTTCTTAAAATCTCATCTCAGTGAGAAATTAAGAAACTTAATAACAGCACCTACGGAATCTACTTTGGCTTCCACTGTGACAAACTACAACTCCCTAGTATTAACAATACAATCTGTTCTAATCCCAAACAATCTCATACCCATAAACAACTGGGAAGGTACACTCCTAAATGGCTTGATAAGGAATGCTCCCATAAAATAAAACAACTTAGAGAAATATACATGCAATATAGGAAGAAGAATCTGGCAGTTCTCCCCCAGGAGTACTATGTAGTTAAAAACCAATATAAAACCCTGATTGCCCAGAAAAAGAAACAATCAATTCAAAAACAATGGAACATCTTGATAGACTCTAAGCTATTCTGAGCCTTGGTCTCTGGAGCACTAGGCGCTCAAACAGGATCAGCTTGCTGTAGTATCCCAGCAAATATATGGGAACAGTACTTTACCAGAATATTCGAGGAAACTAAACCATCACAAACTGTTAATAACATTAACTGAACTGAACCGGTAACTGAAAATATATAAGGCCACTAATAGCTTGCCTAAAACCAAGGAAGGCACCAGAAGTCTTTAAAGACCAATGTAGACTGGTGCCCCCCCCTTTATCTCATCTATTTATATTCATTAATAACACTGGGCAAATTCCATACTCCTGGTTAGAGGCAATAGTGATACCAATCTATAAGAAGGGGAACAAACCCTCAAATTATAGACCAATTAGCCTTCTGTCAATAGTGGGCAAGCTTTACTCTAGATATCTTAATAACAGATTAATCATATGGATTGAGGAAGAGGATCTCTTAGGAAATGAACAGGTTGGTTTTAGGAAGAACCGCTCCACGTTTGACCACTGTATAGTACTGAATCACCTTGCAGAGAAGTATATGGGCCTTTATGGGAATGACCTGTTTTAAAGTCTGCCTTCGACTCAATACCCAGAGAAATTTATAGGAAAAACTCTACTCTTCCTCGATTGATAAAAGGCTACTATATCTTATCAGAAGCCTCTACCAACAGACCACAATTAGGGCGAGATGTGGAGTCGATGGGAATCCATCAAACCCCATTCAGGCAGACAGAAGGGTTCGCCAAGGTTGTATTCTGGCACCTACATTATTTAATCTGCACCTAAATGACCTCCCTAAAAGCTGCACAGCACCTGAATTTCACCCTCTGAAACTGGCTAAAATCAATGTGCCCTTACTACTATACGCAGATGATGCAGTTATCATGTCACTATCAGAAGTTGATCTTAAATGAATTCTATGTGCATTTATGAGTTACTGCAGGAACAACCTTTTAACAATTAACTTCTAGAAAACCATAATAATGGTTTTCTCTAGGCATAGTAAAGTTAAAGAATGGGTTATTGAGGGCCAGCATATAGAACAAGTTAAAACATTTAAATACTTGGGAATTGTCTTCTCACGTACCGTCTCCTGGTCTCACCATAGACAAGCAGCAGTGCAGGTAGATAACAATACAAGCAAAGTTTTTAGATGACACCACTGTGTGGGCAGTTCATCCCTCGTGCTCTACAGATAGTTAAGTACAAAATTCTTGCTCAGCTCCTGTATGGTATTGTGATTTGGATAAATGCTTTCAATCCCTCAGTTGAAAGTGTCCTGTCAAACTCGCTGCAACTCCTATTTGCCATGCCAAGATGCATATCTTCACCTGCCTTGCATTTGGAGGCTGGCCTTCAATCAGTGGAATGTCAAGCTTGTTTGTATTCATTCAAATTCTGTTTGAAGGTGGTATATGCTCCCACAACCAGCGGGTATTTACAAAAATACCTCCATTTTTCAAACTCTTTGCCAGCGCATGACTCACAAATTTACCAACAAATTACATCCTATAGGCTTCTCTATGGACTTCTTTCTGAGTCAGCCTTATGATACTGTAGTACCAACTCAATGGTTGTACAATGCATTAAAGACATAGATCTCCTGTATTCACTAGCATGTGCAGACAGGACCTGCTCACCAATGTACTTTGGTTTAAATTTTAACTTTCCCAAGTTAGCAAATTATCTACAGTATATCGAATCACTCTAGAGATTCTTCTCTTTCCTTCGCTTCCTCTCCTCTTTTGAGTGATCAGCTGTAACAATTTGTGAGATAGAGAAGGAGATAAGGAAAGCCAAATCTGTGCATGGAACACCTTTGTCAAACTCCTTCTTATACCCTGATCCTGCCCTCCCAAACTTGATGAAGTGGCTTGCTAAAACAAGTTCCACTCCATCTTTTCCCCCAAGAGATCTTTATTTAATATTGCATTCAGAGGTGAAGCAAGGTCTATGGAAAACTCAAGAGAGACAGAGTCCAAAACCTGATTTTGCCAGGCTCTGGGGACAGGCAGGGTTGTACAGCATCAAGCTTCAGTTCCTTTTTCCCTGTTGAATGGACCACTTTCAAACTATTAATACTTGTGCAATGTTTTTGAGTTATTGCAAGGACAACTGGTCTTTCCCTGGTCTTTCTCCAGCTCAGTGAGAAATACGGCCCTGTGTTCACCGTGCATTTTGGACGGTTACCTGTCGTGGTTCTCCATGGCTACGACGTCATAAAAGAAGCACTGATTGATCGCGCAGATGAATTTGCATCCAAGGGACGCCTACCATTGGCTGACAAAATCAGCAAAGGGGAAGGTAGGTTTCGCTGCTTGCTAGTCCACATAGGGTTGGGACGTGGGGGTGCTACGGGTTAAACCACGGAAGCCTCTGTACTACAAGGTCAGAAGACCAGCAGTCGTAAGATAGAATCCATGCGATGGAGTGAGCTCCTATTGCTTGTCCCAGGTCTTGCCAACCAAGCAGTTCGAAAGCATGCAAAATGCGAATAGGTAAATTGGTACCACCTTGGTGGGAAGGTAATGGCATTCTGTGTCTAGTTGTGCTGGCCACTTGACCACAGAAACTGTCTTCAGACAAATGCTGGCTCTATGGCTTGGAAACAGAGATGAACACTGCGCTCCTTGGACACGAATGAACTAAATGTCAAGGGGAACTGTGATGTGTAATCCCTGCTTATTTCCCCAAACAAAGGGCTCACAATATGTCTTCTCACCAGCCGATAACAATTGGGACGTTCCCCCTTTTTCTCACTGCCACCAGTTGATTTCTTTTATCCACAACCTCTCAAGAACTCTATTCAGACACTTGTTAGGTTGCTGCCAACAGAACTGATTTAATGAAAGGTATTAACTTTAATTGTAATCAGAGATGTTCTTTATTCAATGCATACAGTATAACCATTCAAATATTATATATCTTGCCACCTTCACCACCTGCTCTATTGTTTATCTTGACCAGCTTATCTCTATTATTAGTTCTTCTCACTATCACCAAGTCACAAGTGGTGGCAGTGGCAGGATATGAATAAAGCCAAAGTTTAAAAGGAATTTTTCTGAGTCAAGAGTGTCTTTTAGTGAGTGATCTGTCGTGAAGGAGTGGGTGACTCACTAGAGCGTTTGTGGGAAAGCTTAGCAGTGGAGCCACCTGAACACAGATTTTTTGGGGGCGGGATTAAAGATAGGGAATGACTCTGAGAAAAAAAATCTGGTTGAAGTTACCTCAGGATTTGAAGAGACCCAGTGGGCTAATTTAGAATCCAAGGCTCCAAGAGTTAAGAGAGCACTTGAGGAGAAAAAGTGGAAGCCAGGGTCAATACAGGTCTGAGGTAATAGGAACAAGCAGAGGCGTGAAAAAGATCAGAAGTTGTTTTGGGTCTGGAGGCAAGAAGTGTTTTGGGTCTGGAGGCAAGAAGGAACAGCGTGGCTGGCGAGGTGCCAGAAAGAAAAAGTCTAGCCACCCTTAGCTGCCAAGGGAGAGCTACAAAGTATCTGAGAAAGGAAAAAATATTTTAAAAAGAGGCTTGACTATCTCTCTGCAATATAAATCAACTCTTATCTAAAGAAAAACACATACGTATGCCACCTGAACGAAGTAAAAAGCTAGTAATAGAGGCAATGGAAGAGGCACAAGTTTTACCTCATGAAGTTGAGGGAAATGAAGTTCCTCTACCTGTGGAACAAGAGGAGACCCACGAAGGTGCCTCAGGGAGAGAATGTGATCTAAGCTCCCAAGAGTTTGAAAAATGGAGGTTACTACAGGAATTCAAGCTTAAAGAATTAGAGATCAAAGAAAGAACCAGAGAATTAGAAATTAGAGAAAAACCTAGGGCTGAAGAAAAAGCTTGAGAACTTAAAGTTGAGGATGAGGCCGGACAAATCGAATTGAAACAAGAGAAATTGAGTTTCAATTAGAAATGAAATAATTGAAATTGGCCTCTCAAAATAACAACAACAGCAATGCTGAGAGAAATCTCTCAAAAATAGATCTAAAGAAATTTCCTCAATATAGAAAAGGTGATTGCCCAGAATCTTTTCTAATTTCCTTTCAATGTGCGTGCTGGGATTTTAAAGTGAAAGAAGAAAGAATGATATTGCTGAGATCCCAAATAAGTGGAGATTTAGCTGTGCTGTATTCACAGATGCCTCTAGAGCAGGCCAGAGACTTCGAGGCTTATAGGAAAATAGTGTATTCAAGATATGGCATCAATGCAGAATATTTCGCACTCTGACAAAAAAGCCTGATAAATCTTATTCCCAATTGGTGGCTAAATTAGTTCAATGTTTGGAGAAGCGGATGGAGCATGAGAGTGTCACTTCTTTGGAACAAATGAAAAATGCGTCTGGGCATTTTTATTCTATTTTATTCTATTTTACCTGGAGAGTTACTCTATTTAATAAGAGATAAAAATCCTAAAAATATACTGGAAGACATTAGATAGAGTGGGACCTCTACCTAAAGTTACCAAGAAGGGGAATAGATATATTTTATCAATAATTGATTATGCCTTTGTTTGGAGAAATAAGCAGGGGTTACACATCACAGGAACCTTTACCTTTACCTAGTACTCATAGGAGGTGGGACCATATCCTCCACCCAGGAGGAGGGAAGAGGCACTGAGATAAAAAAATGGGGGGGGGCATCAGCTCACATGGATGGTTGTTCAATGAGGTCTTTTAACAATTACAATCAGGGTGTGGAAGGCTGTCGGTTCCATTTTTGATTGCTGGTCAAATTCTACATGCATTTACAGTCAGCTTAGCGACGTGAAAAATATGCAGAGTTAATTGATTGAAGACACACACACATTATTCTTCTATAGCAAGACACGTGTATTATACAAAATATCTAGATATTCAGATCGGCAGCACTTTGGCGTAGCCGGCAATCATCAAACAAACTGGCATAGAGGATAGCAGCAAGTGATAGAAGGAGAAGAATACATTGTGTACACGCTGTTCTCTTATATACATTTACAGAGCTTCTTCTGTCCAATCACTGGACACATTACATCATCTTCTCCACCCGGATGTCAGCTCTTCAGACATTGCATCATCCTCTTCTCTGTCACAGTGACTCAGCAGTCACATATCTGCTCATTATGGAAGTTCAGTAATATAATATTTACTCCAGGTTCAGGCCTACAAAATTACAATATCCTGAGATTTTCTCCCTGGCCTTGTTTTACATTGTGCTGTGAGATGCTGATCTTTATCCCATATTGGAATTTATGAACACTTTTTACACATTTTCCTCAAATTACATGTTCCTCCCATTGACTAAACTAATCTTCACTCATTTTCTTTTTAAAATAATTCAGTCTAAGACTGATTCATTTGAGTAAGACAGTTGAATTATGCAAACAAACTAATGATCAGGTGGCAGAATCCAGATTGTAACATAACAATCCACTGCTTACCTCGTGGAAAAGCTGCATTCGGCAAAACCGACGTCTTTTATATCATCAAAGTATAGATCTTTTATGCCGCTGAGACCTTGAGTGTCCCTTTATGGCAGGAAGGTGGAACATAAATGTAATAAATAAAACAGACA